CACACACACACACACACACACACACACACACACACACACACACACACACACACACACACTCTGGAGCTAATGACGTATGAATATTAGCTAGGAAGCTAACACGTAAGCTAAATGGCTAAAGTTGCGATAAACCTTCCAAGAAGCAGCTCTGTTGTCCTTCATCCACATCTTCATTCACAGGATAAGTTGTTTCTACATTCTCCTCTCTGCCAATTCGCTTAGGTTTCATTTACCTGCCTGAAAGTCAGACATCCAAATCAATTGAATGCAGCTAACAATGGAGAAGCCGGCAATCCTTGTTATTTACCCAGAATGCTTTGCAGCGTAAAAATTGGATGGCAATATTTTTATAAAGGTGGGGCATTATTAAGTTGGCTTTTTTGAGCTCATCCCCATCAACAACATTACATACCCAGAATGTTGCTTTGTGTCATTTATGTATTTTTGAGAAATCCTTGAATCTCCCATGGTAGCCACTCAGAGCTGCCTAAATGCAGGTACAAAGCACGGCCTGTTTACACAGAGCCCCTCCCTGGAGCTCAGTCTGCAGCCCAGCTACCCCCCACAGAGCACACCTCCTCCTAACAGAAGAAGAGCTGAAGTAGAAGTGTCGAAACAGTAGGAGGTTCTTCAAGAGACAGAGGMCAAGGTCAATGAGATTAGATTGCAAAGTCAAATTTATTTTTGATATACGCAGCATTTTTAGAACAACTGAATGTAACATAGTTATTGAGTGTAGAATTTGAAGCATGTGCCTGGACAATATGCAATAGGTTCATATTTATTTATAAAACAGTATTTTTACAGTTTTATTTTTATAGTAGTAAATGTCTGAGTTCCCTTGAAAAAGGTATCCAAACTATGAAATCAAAAATAAAAAAAGAGCTGTTCTGAACTAAACTTGGAGCCAAAAGAAAAAAGGGTTTGGTTGATTATTTCTTTGTTTCAGCAATGCAGCTTGGCGATCAATGTAGTTGGAAATGGGCACCATCAAGGAGGGGCTAGAGAGGGCAATGGCCATCACTAAAAGGTTGGTGCGCATCCTTTGGACCCTTTGACCAGACAGCTTTACCTTCTTGAGTCCCACGTTTCTGAATTTGCTCTAGATTTTTTAGGATCAGTGGAGCCTTTGTCAACATAAAAACAAATAGATTTTCAGCAATTAGGAGTTAAACATAGAGTTGAACACATTTTGAGATGATTCTCAGATACTAACAAACCTGATTTTAGCTTAATATCTGCCAAATTTGTTGCCTCGTTGCAGTTTATGGGTTTTTCAAGTTCAGTTGGCTGCTGACCATTTTGAATTGGAGTGACGTTAAAAATTAAACAGTCGTTCATCCCGTGATTAGGTTCTTAACATTTCATTAAAATCAATCTAGTTCAGAGGTTCTCAAACTGGGGTCCCAGGACCCCCAGGGGTCCACAAGCCCTATCTTGTGGAGGGTCCTCAAAAAATTTCAATGAATTGTTAATTTGGATTTTATGTGACAAATGAATATGGGGAACAATTCACTTGTAAAACAAGCATACTAAACCAACAAAAAATAATATTCTCATAGTATTTAGGGATTAAAATGACAGTAAATTATTTCTAAAACAGCATGAGATTTATGAGGGGGTCCCGGGAATTTTTTCATACTTGTAAGGGGCCCCCAGACCCAAAAAATTTGATAACCCCTGATCTAGTTCATGATGTATTTTGCAAACAGACAGAGTTGACTAACATTTAAAGGCGCAGTGTGTAGGATTTGTTGTTTTCAGTGACATCTAGTGGTTGAGTGGTTGAATCATCCTCCCTGGTCCTCCCCCCACCCCCACCCCCAGCTTCCAAACGCAAAAGAGTTGCTACGGTGTCTCT